GGCCGGGGTGGAGCCAAGGGCTCTGGCAACCGAGGCTGAGATCCGGGCCGGAGCTGGAGCGACTGAGGACCAAGGTGGAGCTGGCGGGAGGAAGGAGCCCAATGGAGCCGGTGGGACGGAGTGCAGCTGGAGGAGCAGAGTCCTGAGGCGATGGCAGGTCGACGCCCGACCAAGGCGGAGCCGGAGAAACGAGGGAGCCCGGTGGAGCTTGTTGATCGACGGGTGACTGTGGAGGCGAGGGAGCTAGGAGCCGAGGTGGAGCCGCTGGGTCTACGGGCCGAGGCAGAGTCTGGGCCTCGGAGGCTGGAGGCGGAGGTGAGGGATTCTCCAGCCATGGCGACGCTGGAGGATGGCAGACCCGCGGAGCTCACACCGTAATGATGGTGGGCTGAGGGAGAGCAGAGGGGCTGCCAGACGACAGCGGCGGAGGGGGGGAGGGCGGTTATTTGTGAGCCTCCGGGCTTAACTTGGGACCAGGAGCCCTCTCAGGGCTGGACGTGGGAACAGGAGCCTTCTCTGGGGGGGGGGGGGGGGGGGGGGGGGTTGCTCCTCTCCGCACTCACACCGTCCGCGGCTTTCTCCCTCGTAGCGGGCATTGTCGCCGGCTCTTGCACCTGGTCTAATGAGTTGAGCTCTACGTCCGGGGCGATCCTCTGCTCAGCCTCTGCTCGGCTCGTAGATCGCGGCGGGAATTGGCTCTCTGTCATCGGTGGGCTCGGGCTTTAGCTCTGCACAGCGGGGAGATGGTGGGCTGGGCTCTGGGTCCGGAGTGGATCTGGGGATGCTCCAGCCACGACGACGCTGGAGGATGGCAGACCCACGGCGCTCGCACCGTAATGATGGTGGGCTTCGCACCTGGTCTGACGGCTTGGGCTCTACTTCCGGGGCGATCCTCTGCTCAGTCGCTCAGCATTGCGCTGGCTCATAGATCGCGGCGGGAATTGGCTCTCCATCATCCGTGGGCTCGGGCTTTAGCTCCTCACAGCGGGGAGATGGTGGGCTGCGCTCTGGGTCCGGAGTGGATCTGGCGAGATCATCCTCGGGAGTGACGATGAGAGGCGATCCATTTCTCGCCAGAATCCACTCCACAAACGTGGTGAAATCCGTTCGAGGACCATCTTCGGATGACGGCACTCAGCATGCGGTGTTTAAACTTGCGTCGTTATCTGGCGAGATCATCCCCGGGAGTGACGGTGAGCGGGGATCCGTTTCTCGCCAGTATCCACTCCACAAAAGGCGGTGAAATCCGCTCGAGGACCATCTTCGGACGGCGGCGCTCTGCACTTGATGTTTAGACTGGCGTCGTAGAATGCACAGAGCGCGTCGTCCGGGTAGCTGGTGGTGTTAGCTAGCAGCTGGAACAGTCTAGTATGGTCCTTGAGCAATCTCTCCCCCTGCTCCAGCAGGAGGAGGATATATTCCGGGTGAAGGAGGGCATCCATGAAGGAACAACGGAAAAAAAAGACACTGGGTAAAAACGGGAAACAAATCCCCCTGGTCCAGCAGGAGGAGGAGGTATTCGGGGCGAAGAAGGGCATCCATCCAGGGAACATAACGGAAAAAAAAGATACTGGGAAAAACGAGAAAACAAACGGAGGGGAAAACACGGAGGTAACTGTTTTTAGGTTAGATCTTCTGTCACGCTACGTTGTTGAGGGAACACGCTGGAGTCACGAGGAAACGTTTAACAGTCTTTAATCAATAAACACAGGAGATAACCCACAATGGGCGCTTGAGCCAACACACATAGAGAACGATACCAAGCGTTCTAACCACGAGCTCGCCCCTCCCCACCCCCCAACCATTAGAATTTCTGTAGGCGGGAATTATTTGTAATGAAATTCAAATGAGCCGCTTTGTGATATCACAAAGCCCGGAAAACAAACGCTGTAGTCCAAACGAGACTTTCGTTGTAGTTCTTGAAAAGGGATTTTTTAAAAACTAAATATCTCCCTTTGGAGTGGACTTTGAGATTTGTAACTTTCTAGATATTTTTAATGCCCAAACATACACACTACACACTGACTAAAATTAAAAAAGTGAAAAAGCATAATAGGACCCCTTTAACATCTTCTGGATGTGAGCATCTACAAAGCAATATTAACCCTCTGAAATGGTTTGATACTAGCCAGAAAAAACCTACACATACATTTGAGCATCTAGATAGACCTACAGTACAGTACGTCTCACTTTGTTAAATTACTGAAGCAGAACACATTGCCCTGCGATTGCTTCTTTTCCTTTCTCTGTATCCGCAGAGCAATTGGGCATGAAATTCACTTGAAAAAAGGGAAAACATTCAAAAGAAAACCTTTCAAAACCTCAATGATGTTCCGGGATTTAGAAAGGAAACAAGCAACATGTTTTCAATGAAGCAGAACCCAAAATTGCTGCCACATTGCCACTTTATAAATGTATGTCAGCCCTGCACAGTCTGAGCACAGCCTGAGACATCTGTCAAATCTAGTGCAAACATACAATACTTCCCGATAGACTCCAGTAATAATGTCTTGATCATGCTGGTACATCCATTCTGGATATTAGCTGGCCGGATTAGAGGCAGAGCTCATTAATTTACATGAACATGA